CCTTAATTAACTCACTTAGACCTGCTTTCCTTTGTCTTGTACTCCTAATTAAACGAAAATGATTGTGACCATTACCAATAGCTGCACAGCTTACTCTCTGGGTAACTGTCCACGTATATAGTATGCATGCCCTTTCGGTTTAAGTTGTCTCTAAGCGGTAGTGATAAATCACCGGTTACCGCACATCATTAAACAATTCACAGGATCTGGAACTCAGGAGCATGTCACGAAGTGATACCGATGACTGGTTAGCTTTGGTGATCCGGGCGTACGAAATGACGCATACTCTGGAGTGGAGCGTTACAGTTTGAGGGTAACTATGATCAATCAAACTTCAAAGGTGACGCCAGCAGAGCGCGTAAGTGTCACTGCTTTCGGACTACATACCATAGGTCGAATGGACCAGCCAATCAGAGACCGTGTGGCCCAGATAGAAGCAAAACGATACCAGGAACGCGATTGGTAGAAGCCCGCATAACCAATGAGACTACTTTGTAAATATTATTTGAGCCCCCTAACTTCTTCCAATAAACAGACTACTACTCTCGTGACCATTTCCTCGCGTCTTGGTGACGTGGCGCAATGAGTGCCAGTGTCGGTCCAGTGCTTACGTGATCCAGTTCGTGATCGCTAATCCTTGATTCGTATTTCGTGAGCCGTATTTCATGATTTGTGTTTCAAGTTAAGTGCGTATTACTACTACTACTACTACTATTACTACTACTACCAAAAATCACTAGATTAGCTCAATATCCCATTCATATTGAACTGATGTAATTTACTCGCGGTCGATTTGTTTCACTGTAACAGTTATATGCGTTCTCTACTTGCCATCACTGGGAGTATTCGGGTACACACAAAAACAAGATAACAATTTCTTTCTCGTCCCTGATGTTTCTTTGGATAACAGCTCTAATGCATGCCGCAGTTTTCGGCAACGTGACTGCTATCATCCAGCGCATCTATGCTCGCCGTACAGCGTTTCAATCGCGCGCCCAGGACCTGAAAGATTTCGTCCGAGTGCATCACATTCCCAAACAGCTGAAACGCCGAATGGAAGATTTCTTCCAAACTACTTGGGCCATCAATCGTGGAATCGACCTGACCGAGGTGAGTGGTATTCGTTCATGTTTTTGGACTATGTGCTTGTGTGTGATCGAGTTGTTCATTGTCTTTTGGTTCCGCTTGCGTATGATAATTTTGTGAATAAATCTGGAGCACAGTTTTGCAGTTGAATCTCACAACGGACGGTAAGAACCCCTTGCGGTTTGCCAAGTTGGAATCACTTATCAACGAATCCTCTTTGTGGAATCAAAGAAGCTGGCCAAGTGAATCAGCTTATTATCAGGTACCGAAATTCTTTCTTTTGGAAAGACTGGTGATAACTGGCGAAAAATGATTTCGTTCTTTTACGAGCATAATTAGATATCATGGGGACCGTGATTGTGAGTATAATTGTGGCACTTCAAATAAATAAGTAAACAGTAATGGGCAATCGTAAGGAGACAAGTTAAATTCGTTTATGCTCAACACATTCTTCCATACAAAGCCCTTCGAGAAACGCATAAAATATTTCAACAGTTTGATGCTTCCTCGATCAGAGGACCTGCTTACTCCGAGATAATGGGAGATATAAACCTTGGATACTTCAGACTATCTATCTTCCCTCCCCAGTAGCTTACACTATTTCGTGGGTGACCAATCCGAACAGAAATATGTGAAGAACTACAAACCGGTGACCCCAATGAATTACAGCCAACTGTGGTAAACGAGTGCCCCATGCTCTTTCACCTATCTTTTCTAAAATCATCAATGTTTAACACCGGATTGCTGGATTACAGTCAGTCATACAAAAATTCCTCAAAACAGAGGTTCAACCGAATTTGGTCTCGTCGCTTCTACTTCAATGACCTTGAAGATATTTGAATGATTGCACACAAATTGCTCCCACAATGAAACTTGGCTGATTGTAATCAATTTTTATATTATTGTAAAAGATCTATCATTGATTCTCTAACTTTCCTAGTGTATTTTATTCAGTTATCGCTCGACGAAAGTTGGGTAATGTGGGGTGGCAGGTAAACCGATTATGTTGCGATTGTGAAATGTTCAGTAGCGGCTGTGGGATTTTAACCCACGCATGGAAGCGGGTGAATTCTAGGCAAATCGGTTTACATGCTAACCGGTTGGATGCCATATGCCTCCTGTGTAAGTTGGATCGGTCATTCAAATCTGAAAAGATCAGTGGGTTTGAATCCCACCGAGGCTACTGAATTTTCACAATTACAACATAAAAACCCCTCTAGGCCAAACGACAATGTACACAGTAAACCAAATAAACAACTAGATCCCATGCCTGTTCACAATGGCTCCATACTAACGATATACGCTGATGACGTCATCTTTGGCTACCCTCTTGACTCCGCACTATCCAAACGTATTTCAATCTCTTCTACTCGCTCTATGTAAGAATACGTTCAAATATACAAAATGCATACAGTCTTTCCACCGTTCCAAATCTTAATCGCTTTTCTGTCACCCGAACTGTAATTTACATGAGTTAACTCCGTAAATTTGTTGGGATATTTGGCAACTGAATGGTCACTAGATGGTATAATAAAGCAACTTCCTCACCTGACTTCACTTGAATAATAAGTCATTAGGAAATTGTATGACAACGAAACATTCATTACTCGATTTGTGATCTCAAACGCGCCGAGGGCGTTTTATTAAGAAAACGGTTGAGCTACTCGTGCTACAGCAAGCATCGGTCTGTGAAATTCAGAGTCGTAGTAGTCCATTTATCCATATGTACCCCGGGAACAAAACACGTCAAGCGTGAATATACTCGGGCTCGTAGTTTGTAAACGGATTTCCGTCTTTGAAAACAATTCTACTTCCTCTATGTCGAAGCTTACTCATTTCGGTATAGAAAATGCTCGAACAGAGGCAGAAAATACATTTATTTTTAGGTTAGGTGCCCATGTTTCAATAGTTCAATCTAACTCGGAACAAATCTCGAAACATGCCATACTCGCATAGAGAATACGATTGGAGGCAAACAACTGTTTTCAAAAACTAGCAATCATGCCGTTATACTTCACATGAGAGGATAATACCTAGGGATTGGAGGCCTAACATCAAAATTTGAGGTCTCATTTGCGTGTGTGTGTGTGTGTGTGTTTATTTCTTGCACACCGCACTCTCAGATTCGGGCTGTTGGGGTTTTCAGTTAGGTCACATTGATCGAGTAAATCTGTTCTGAGGGATCGGTGTTGTTATGTGAAAATGTGTGTGTGTGTGTGTGTGTGTGTGTGTGTGTAGGCAAGGGGGGTGGGTTTGCCAACGCTCGGAATATAGTGAGCTTGGGTAAAACGCTTCTGTGCACATAGTTCGGTGGTCATGTGTATTTTCTGTTTTTTATCATTTTTACTTTATTTTATGAAATATACGAATATATAATTTTTTACGAAGCGAGAAGCGCTCAGTCAAAGGGGTAAGATACAACACACATGACGGGGAAAGACAGGCGGTGTTGGTGTGATTCGTACACGCGTCCTCCGAGGTGATAACTGGTGACATTATCACTAGGCCCGCACCATCATGTCCAATGATATAGCTTCTGCTATGCTATGCTACGTATTCGGTTCGAGGGAACCAGGTAAATAATGCGAAATGCTTCACTTGGTCCATCACGAAGGTCAGTTTCTACCAAGTGGAGGGGGGAATCGCACTTGTGATTGATTCCGAACCACCTTGACTCAGTCGGGACAATTTTGTTGATAGAATCGTTACACCCAGAACCTTTTTGCCATATGTAGCCTAATCGCATATCGAATCCTAATGGTTATCGCAAATAACCAATTGGAGTTGTTCTCCTCGCGTGTATGGTGAAAAATGTATTGTCAACTATTTGATGTTTAATTTTATTCTCCGACGACATTATTCGAATTTATATGTGTTAAGCTTAATCACAAAATCAGATTAACTGTTGCTGCAGAGATGTCATTAATTTAGTTATTTACGACATAAGTGCTGACAGCAAACAGTCAAACTTCAACTTTAGACATTTTTCTGTGACTGCAATAGTGGAAATGTACTTCTCCAAGGGACGTCACCATGGAGGAATGAAACTTTGTTTACTGGAAAAATCATCTTCTCATTTGGAATATGCACGATCCATCCACAATCCATCTTTGAGAGCTTGTTGCGGGCAACAGACCACACACAACTCTGCGTTAGCCTTCATGGTTATGAGTCGGTTGAATATTTTCACAACCTGACTGTTTGGTATATGAAAGAAATGAAGGCTTTGATTTGATTAAATGATAAATTTGTCATGTAAATGAGGCGCGAGCTGAAAAGCTAAGAGGCACTATTGTACAACTGTTTCAACCTGGTTGGGTCTCAACAGTAGCAATGTGAATCCATCGATCCACCTGGGGGTGAAACCCGAGGCCTCACAGGTAGTAGAGCGCGGGTATACTAACAATATTAGGATGAAAACGAGAGTCTGGTGCTTCCGAATTTACGGTTAACTGGAAGAAGTGAGGATTTTACGTCAAATTGTACTCGGATGAATGGTCAGTTCAAATCATTATATTCGTATAATATCATGTTTTTGTTGCCAAGTTTTTATGCTATGACGAAATTCGGATGGGTGATTCGAATATGAAAAGATCAGTGCGCTGTAAAAAGAGTAGGTGGCGTCCATGTATGGCTTCCTATCTAATCGAGGCTACTGAAATTTTCACAATCTCAGCATAAAACATCAATCTGCCAAAAAAATACACTGTAAACAATTGGTTTGGTTGATTGACGATTCAGTGTATACAAAACTGCAAGAGTCCTGTTTGATCCCCTTTCACACGACTATTGATATCAAGTAAGAAATTGATAAAATCAGTTTTTGACAAACCTTGGTCACATCAACGAAACGTAGCAATTACGCTCCACTACTATAAAAGAATAATCCTTGGCATCGAGGTTTCGATTTTAGGATTAAGAGAAGCTTGTGGAAAGCAAGCAGTAGCCCTAGTACCATCAAATATCATCCAAACACTTGATCGGTTTAACGTTTTGCGAAATTTGACTACTTGGCATGGCCGATAGGATGACAACTATGCGCTGATCAGGAGGCTCAAACATGTGTGCTGAACACAAGCGAATTGAAACGTTTCAGTTACTTTCGTTCTGTCCAACGAGTGCAACCGAGCACAATATTTCATGTGACTTTAGTGGAAAAAGCTTGCGTAAAATATCCAGCTGATCGCTCACTCACGTGTGCAGAAATATTTAGACACATTACATTTGTAACTTAACATTTAATCATTAATTGCCATCACGTATAGAGCAGAAGAGAAATCATGCATTTTATGATAGATTGCTAATCTCCTGAAGAAGTAGTTATTTGGTTTATCTTTAGTAAACGCAAGCTATGATGAATTGTCAATAATATAAAATAAAAAAAACAACAGAGGACTGAATAAGCAGTTATGAGAACTGAGTTCCTTATGTAGAACCAATAAGTCAATAAGTCCGTAGGAATATATTTTATTCGGAAACTTCATCCTATGGTTATCATTAAGTAGAAAAGCATACTACAAATTGACTGACAATAAACATCGGGCACATTTCAAGCAAAACAACAGAGTGGCGAACAAGCTCGTATTCACGGATTTGTATTCTTACCAATTCATCTCGAAATATATATCACCCGTCGATCAGATGGCTTGGTGCAAACGTTCCGTGTATAGAAAGGTGACTTAGAAAGACAAATGCATTCAGTGCACGGAAAGCTTTTGTCAAAGCACCGAGGTTAAGAAGATTTCCGTGTACATAATTTTGCACTTCAAAAGGGACGTATCAGCTGAAATCATACGAAGAAAATTATCAGACATAATCGATAAGACTTCTATGCACCCTATCCTCCTGTGTTATTCACGTCCAAGCCAATTGTGTGTGTGCAACTGAAGGACAAAATTCCAGACTCTTCGGTGTCATTCTGTGTATAATCATTTATTTCAAATTTAACTCACAGTTACTTGTGAGTAATGGTGTGGGATAATTCTGACTGTGGCACAACGTACATAGGCAGCACTGTAGGGCGATTGTCCGAACGGATTTGTGAACATCGCCCTCCATGGTTGAACATCAGTGCAATGGTTTCATACCTAGCTGAAACAAATCACACTGTGAACGTGGTCCGAGGCTTTCCGACCCCTGTATAAAGTTCGTGGGCGATTATGGAGTCAGGTTCGCTGTCGGATGTTGGCTACGGCAGAAGCATTCGTCCGCAGAACCGACCCCCCCTCTGTGTGTTCAAAAACAATTTGTGCAGGTACACCCCTGGCCCACCCTTACCCTTATTCCGAGTGGTCCCTACGATCAAATGACTCAACAGTTATGTGATCACTGAGAACTCCACACTCGGTCCCAAGACGAAATTCACCCCAGATAACCTATGAGCTTATTTTCCCTTTCCCGAAACAGTTGTTTGTGCTTCCTTTTTTGGTTGAATACTGATCTATATGTAAACAGCGTAATATCTATTGTGATGTATTTGGCATGACTACGAAAAACTGAAAACGAGCTTGTTCTTCACTTTGTTGTTTTGTTTAAAATAAGCGCAGACTTAAATCACAGTATAAGCAAAGTTTTTCGTATCATTCCGATCGACAAAATAAAACAACTGATTGGTTTCAAATGAATGCAGAAAGCCTTAATTGAAAAGCATCATTTACGTATAAATACGTAACGTAAAAACACACGACGATGTTTCTGTACACTCCAGAGCAAAGTTCTATGCTCTCGGTGACTCTTCAAATATTCGATTTGTGGGCCCCAAGTAAACCCTTTTTCCATCTGACAATGTGAACGATTATAGTCACTCATGTGATTGAACACTACTGAATTGTATTGTACCTGCACATGAAAAGTAATCAGTTGTAATTTACAATCATTAAACAGACTAAATATATACTTTGGGCGATGAAGCAGCGCAATTTGCAACCTGAGACTTACACGTATGATCAAACTCGTGTCACACATTGAATTCCATCACAATTGTTCCTCCCAGCGCTTTGGGTTTGAAGCCTCAATCACGGAGGATTGAATTTGATGTGGTTTCAGATCAGACGCAACATTTCCGTTATGTTTTTCTGCTTCTTTTGGTTGTATTCCATCGGGAAGTATGATTTCTTGTATTCGCCGACTGTAGCTGATGCATCGGCTGTAAAATAACAAGGCCTCAAGAAAAAAAACATAATTACAATCTGTTCGTATGGATGATTCCTTCCCATGATACAGTTATTTTACTTTTATTTTTTCAATGTTCTATTCATCTTTCTTTAATTTTGAGCACTGGAAGCAGTTGCTCTTGAATGTAATCCACCAATTTGACTTTTCAACAGTATTTACGAATTTTCTTTAGTACATGCCACAACCTGGTCACAGACGATCAGTGTTGCTGTAGCTAATTTACACTGTTTCCTGCAAAAATAAATGTATTCGATCGCACTCAAATCCCGAAAGAATTCACTAAAAAACTTGACCCATTCAGAAAATGTATAAATGTGAGAAAAACTTTTTGGTTTGTTAATTTAAGCCTCGCCTTGCCTTGATATCCAGACAGAAGACTACCGACTACGCAGACAAGACAAGTGTCAAGGACCGTGAAACCGGTCATGTCTTTCTGGAAAATTTTGTTCCATCATTCAAATACTACGCATTGTGAAAATCACATCCCATTGCGTAGACGACTTATCAGCCATGTCTTCTTGTGGACCTCTGCAGTAACTTAAGTAGTAGTAATAATAGTACGCACTGAACTCCGAATACGAACCACGCAATACGGACTGGATCATGTAAGCCCTGGACCACACTGCCACTGGCACGCAATATCCCAGGTAACTGAGACGCGAGGAAATGGTCACGAGAGTATATTGGAAGAAATAAGGGAGATTTAATAGTACGTACGAAGTAGTCTCATTCGTTATCCGGGCTTCTACCAATCACGTTCCAGTATTCCTGGCATCGTTCTGCTTCCGTTTGGGCCACATTGGTCCCTGGTTGACTGGTACAATCTACCTATGGTTTGTAGTCCAGAAGCAGTGACACTTACGCGCTCTGCTGACGTCAACCTTGAAGTTTGATTAATTGCATTTGCCCAAAAGCTGTAACGCGTTGCTTCAGGGTAGACGTCATCTCGTTGGCCCGGATCACCACAACCTCCACCCCATCCCAAAGCGTGGATCGGACAAAACATTAGCGTTCACAGACATCACAGCTTTTCGAGATTAATTCCAGTCATAGCTCGGACGTATAGTCCCAAGAAAATCTAAACCGGGTTGTTTTCTCTATCCGAACATCCGAATTTCATTTGAAATGTCAACCATAAACCCTCTCCTGAACACCAGAAAGGTTCGTGAGTATGGCAAGGAGGAATGTAGCAGCTGCGGTGTCCCGGTGGTAACGTCTTCAAATTATCAGCCCCAAAGATGTGTTCAAATCCCACCACCACAAGATACCAGCTTCGCGTAGTACTGTTTATAGAAATCTAAACTGATTGTATTTATCTAATGGTGATTTCATCCTAATCGCAATTTCGTTCTATTACTCAGGTTTTGTCCATCTATCCAGAAGAGTTGCGTCGTGACATTGCGCTTCACCTGAACCGCGAGTTGCTCAGCATGAAGGTTTTTGAACATGCCAGCCAAGATTGTCTGAAAAGTTTGGCGCTACATATCAAGACTACCTTTTCCACTCCGGGAGAATATTTGATACATTCCGGGGAT